AAAAATCATTGCAATTTTTCTTCTTTTTTTTTTGTTGAAAAATTTTTCATCCTCGATTTCACATATTTCTTCAAACAATTTGAAGCATCAGAATTTTCATATTTAAAGTTATCTGCAAAAACCACCAAAGTATAACGAATAGTATTGAAAGTTTTGCATAAACGCTTGAGCGGAAAAAAATGAAGATAAGTTTCTATATAAAATTTGTGCTTCCAAGGGTTGGGCTGCATGCTTGCCTTCCCTTTTTCTAAATGCTAAGATTTTTGGCAAAAACTCTTTTCTTACTATATTATTATTATTATTATTTTTTTCTTTAAAAGTGACCAATCAGTCAGGGCCGAGATGCCTCTTTTCGTGTAATATACTGATATTAAGAGAAAAGCGAAGGGAAAGGGATTTTTGCACTCTAGTGGGCGCGATCTATGAAGCACTCCGTATTGCTATGATCAAACTAAATTCTGCCGCACTTGAGATTCGAACGTCCGATTACGGACCTCGTAGTCATTATTCTTGTCTAGTCACCTAGTCCTCCGTATATTGTCAAGGCAACAATAAACCTTATTGTAAAGGCAAAGCCTTACTTGGCCTTTTTAAGGAGCAAAAATTGAAAAGAGAGCGAAAATTATAAATTGTTCGATACATAAATTTTTTGTGAAAGTAAAGGAAGTGACCACCATTGGCTCAATGTCATGTTCAGCGTTGAATTTAGACAGGCCGACTATTGCTATGCACTCCTTAAGAGATATCATTGCTTTTGAACTTTCAAAAAATTCATTATACTTGTGGTACAAGAGTATATTAAATTTGTGCGTGGATATGCGACAGCCAGAAGAACACATCTTTTATTATACCAATGGATTCGGACGCACTTTCTAAATCGATCTAAGCCTGTGTGCCGAATCCTTTTTTCACGAAACCAGACCTACCTTCTCCCAGTACCGTCTTTCATGCTGCCTAACAAAAATGCAAATTTTCAAATCCTTTTTTTTTTTTTAAATATCCCGTGAAGCCCAAGCTATCTTGACCTATCAATAGGAAATATTTTCTTTTTCGTTTCACAGATATCTATTACGAAGTTTCAACAAACGTTAAGGTTTTAATCGACCATAAACGCCGATTTAATAGTTATAGTTTCATTTTTCCTTCATTTCGGCTAAATATTTGTGCATCTCTGCAAATATTGGACATAACCTCAATAATCGCTAAATTCCTTATCTGTTATTAAAACGTATGTTCTGTATTTTCAATATTTTTTTTATCACATCTAGCGACGAAGAATTAACGATTCTTCGGTTTCATATGAACCATGTAAAAAGATGTGTCCAAAACCTCGTAAAATATAAGTATACCTTCGTGGACCGTTTGTTAAATCGTGTACGTCTGTCTTCTATCTGCTCATTCATTGGTCTATTTGCCTACTCATCTGGTTTACTACCTACCCATCTGCTCATTTGTTCGTTCGTCCGTTTATTCATCATTCACTGGTCGTTCATTCATACATACGTGCGACCGTATACCCGTTGTTGAATCTATTCATTCTTCGATAATTGCTGTTCAGATGTTCCACCGCGTCTGGGAGTTCAACTGTCCATACCTGCGCTTATCCGTTCACGAGTCTATCGGTACGTTGGTATCTCCACATTTCTACCCCGTCCTTATATCTATATGCTTATATATCTGCTCCGCCCGTTACGTTTATTTTGTCCTTATATTTATCTGTCCATAGGTCAGTCCGTATGTCTACTTTTTCAAGACGTCTTCTTCGTTCTTATATTTGTCCGTCCATACGTTCGTCCGTATGTCAACTTCGTCGGCATATCTACTCCGTCGGTAGGTCTACTTCGTCCTTACATTCATCTATCCGAACATTTAATCCGTCCGTATGTCCATCCCTTACCTCATACGTCCGTACATGCAAGTCTTCACGCGTCAGTATCCTTTTTTATTAGTACGCAGATTATCCGTGTAAACGCTAACTTCAACACTGAAACTCGATGGTTCGCCCGAACAATTTAACCATGTATAGGCCAACAATATATTATAAAAGAAAATTATAGTTTATACATTATAGCAAATGTCGATATAAGACTTTATATAAATATTTTTGAAAACCACCTGAGAGTTTATTCCAAAAGTGATTGTTGCCTTACAATGCCTTTCAGTAACAAAATAATTGATGTGTTTTTATGTATCAGTTGAAAATAAACACGAAATCCATCCAAGGACGAACGTAACTTTCCTGTTGATTATCTCCTTGCATTTTTAAGACAATTTTAAGGTCAAATTTGATTTGTTGGATTGGAAAAGTGGTTTTCTCGAATCATTTACAATTAAAAACGTTGTTGAAAGAAGAAGAAGATATGATTTCAGAGAAGAATAATCTCATAACGAAGAACGATTTTTTTTTTCTTGCTATGAACTGTACACATACTATTTTTTGTTTTCTTTCTCTATTCGTTTGTTTCTTTTTTTCGTGTGTGTAAAACTACCTGAAAAATTACTTTTCTACATCATTCGTTTTATTCTTTTAATTTTCGTTTTTTAATTAAAATTAAATTTAATTAATCTTAGGAATTATTCATCAGTTGGATCAATTTTTTTTTTTTTACTTTAATTTTCATTTCGTTCATTTTTTAATTTATAGTATGTAACCTAAATACTTGTTGTTGGCGTGTGTATGTATGTTGAGTGTAAGTTTTGGTTGGCTGTTAATATGTTGCTTGTAATGTTGCGGCTGTTTTTTTTTTCCTTTTTTTTTTTATATTAATATCTGATGTACGTTTGTTAATCAGTTTCATTGAATTTCCTATTGTTTTTTGTTACTTATGTTATTGTTTTTGTTGTTGTTAGAATCAGGTGTATCCACCACGCATCGATGGAGTTATATTGCAGTTGTCTCTTTGTTTGTCATATCTAGATCACCAACGATGTCAAAAATCACATAACGTCCGTCTGTCATATCCATACATATGTCCGCTTAGCTGTATCGTCTCTGTTAATGAAATGCTCCAAATGGTCGCAAAATCGCTTGATGTGAACAGATCAAATTGATATTGCTTATAATGTCAGCAGAAATAAATTTACAATAACTAAAGATTGGTCCATATAACAGGTATTGTAAGATCTCTTGATCTTGAACCTTTGTCTTTTAGTTTGACTTTCCTTCTATTCGCTTTTCTATCGCTCGCTGTTACTTAGCTTGAGAGAGAAAGATATATCTTCATGTATCAAGTGTACATAAAATTGATAACCATGGACACCGATGCAAAAGGTCGCGGTTCGCCCCAAGACGTTCAATTCTGCAAAGGAAGAAAAGGTCGAATAAGACGAAGTTTTCCATATTATTTTAATATTGAAAACTGCTAGACGAAAGGAGCAGTTAAGAAGGTCTTAGAATTTAGTTTAGGTCCACCCCTATTAAGAAAGGATTGATGAGTAAAGCCAAGCTTCATTTATCCATGTTCGCTCCGTATTGAACGTTGACGAGATCCGCTGAAACCGACGGCTGGAAAAAGACAGTTCATGAAATCATGAAATTTAGTTGCAGTCCTATTCCAATGAAAACGATTGTCACTCCTTACTCGGATAAAGCCGAAAAAGGAATTGAAAAATTGGCATCCTTTCATGGTCATTTCAAACTGAAAGTAGGCGAAACTTGCTGAAATTGACGAGAAGAAAGAAGCCATTAATGAAATCTCATGAAATTTAGTTGCGATCCTTTCCAAATGAAAACGATTGTGACTCCTTACTCGATTAAGGCTGCAAAAGGAATCAAAAATGTCGCATACATGTATGGTAATTTCAATATGAACGTTGACGAAACTCGTTGAAATTGCCGAGAAGAATGAGACAGTTAATAAAGTCATGGAGTTTAGTTGATGCCCTTTTTAATTGAAAACGACTGGGACTCGTTACTCGGGTAAAGCTAAGAAAGAAATTGACAGAGTTGCGCCTTTTCGGTCCGTTTCGCATTGAAATTTGCCGAAGCTTGCTGAAATTGATCAGAAGAAAGAGACAGTTAATACAGACACGAAGCTTTGAGCTTGTTGCCTTTAGAGAATGAGTGAGGTACATTAATCCGATGAGATCGATAAAAGGCATCGACAAAATCGCATCGTCTCTCC